ACTTTGTATATTCAGAATTTCATTCTTGAGAGTTTCCCATCCCTCCTGGGATCACTTCCTTTAAAGATTTAGTTCATGGCATCCTACCTGTGATTTCTCTGGATTCTTCGAAATTTTCTCTCCCTAAATCTAGAACATACGGCTACCTTATGCCTGACTTTCCCATATTGCTAGTCTCTTTGCTAAGCTTTTTTTCATCCATCAATATTTATTAGCACTGACTTATCTATCACCAGTATCATATCTTGCTTCTTGTGAGCCGCTTCTGAAACTACTTATCTATTTCTCTTTTCTGTTTGTGCTATAGTCCATGATGATATCACTTGTATTTCTGCCTCCACTCCAGTGGTCTCTATCCACCATGTTTCTCTCTTCTAGTTCCTCATCTTCCTCTCATGAGTACATCTACTTAATATACAATGCTACCCTACCGTATACTCCTTTCTCTTTTGATTGATCCTGTTCCTTTTGAGTAAGATATATTCATCAAGAGCCTTTGTCTAGTCATGTGTCTCATTTCTGAAAGTCTCCATGATGACCTTCAAATCAAACTGGTTTCTTTGCACTGGGATCTTTGAATTCACCTTGCTTGTTATCTGCATATGGTACATGCATGGACACTTAACTAACCCTAACCATTGATACCTAATGCTTCCTTACCACTTCCTCTCTTTTTCTTCTAAACCCTGTGCAGTTTTGCTTCCAAAGTCTTCGCTCAACTGAAACTTCTCTCTTCCAAGTAGCCTATGATGTCTTAATTGCTAGATCTAATGGCACTTTCTCAGTGCTCAACCTTGGCTTCTCAGTAGCCTTTGACACTATCAATCACCCTTTTGTCTTTTGTGATGCTGCTATTTTTTGTATTTTTTTCTCTTTACATTTATTCTGTGTATACTTACATGTGTCTTTGTTTCTCCTGTTAGAATGTAAACTTCTTTTGAGTGGGGACTGTTTTATTCATTGTTTTTGTATCCCTAGTACCTGGAACATTTAATGTTGTTGCTGTTCAGCCATGTCTGACTCTTTGTGACCCCTGGGGTTTTCTTGGCAGAGATACTAGAGTGGTTTGCCATTTTCTTCTCCAGCTCATTTTACAGATGAGGAAACTGAGGCAAACAGGGTTAAGTGACTTATCCAGGGCCACACAGCTAGGAATTGTCTGAGGATAGATTTGAACTATGGAAGCTGAGTCTTCCTGATTCCAGACCCAGCACTCTATCCACTGCGCCACCTAGCTGTCCAACCCGGCACATTGTGGTTCATATGTCATTCTCCAAGAGGACCAATGACATCACAAGGGTGATGACTTTGTGACTTGTGTGTGAATTGGATTTAAGTGAAGCAGAGCCGTACAAAGTCATCAGCCTCACCCTCTCCTCCAGAGTCATCAGTGTCCAGCGGCTGCCAGGGGTCACTTTGTACAACTACTTCCTGCCTCAACTGGGTCTCCCTAGAACAGGGATTTTTCACTTTTGTGAGTGTTATATTCCCTTTAGGGAGTTTGGCAAAACCTAAGGCCCCCTTCTCAGAAATAATGTTTTTAAACTCATTAAATAAAATACATGTCTTATTACAAAGAAGAATATAAAAGATTATAAAGGAAACCACCTATATTGAAATATAGTGATCAGAATATTGTTAAAACATTTCTTGGACTCCAGATTGAGAAGCCCACCCTAGAGATTGTGTCCTACCTTTTATTTGTTTTTGTTTTTTGTGAGGCAGTTGAGGTTAAGTGACTTGCCCAGAGTCACACAGCTAGTGAGTGTTACGTGTCTGAGGCGGGATTTGAACTCAGGTCCTCCTGACTCCAGGGTCATTGCTGGTCCACTGCACCATCTAGCTGTCCCTGTCCTTCCTTTTAAAGGCTACCAGGGGCTCGCCCTGTCCTTGGCCAGCCAAATACTAGCTGGTGTCTTGTTTAGTCATGGAGAGTGGTCACTCTTTATACAAGGGTACCAGTGTAGACATGTCTTTGCATATTGTTTTATGCATTTACATTCGATGGTCTTTGCTTTTCCCCTTTTGTGCTTTCATCAACCAGGCCTGAGGGATTGATTTCTTCAACTGGTCATGGAAGTCCTGGCTGGTTGTAGCACCAGATCCCCCTGCCCCCATACACACAGATAGGTTTACCAAAACCCAGCCTACTATATCTAACAGAAGCTCATTGTTTGACAAACAACCTTCTTTCCTGTTTGTGTTTGCATAAAGAGCTATTCATTTTAATGGTGCCTTCCCCCGTGAGATCACCTTCTATGTTTTCTGTATCTATCCTGTGTACACCCAGTTTTTTCATGTTGTTGTCCCATTCCAATGGGTTTTCATGACCCTGCTCTCTCTTGGCTCTCCTCCTACTTTTCTGACAGCTCCTTCTCAGTCTCCTTTGCCGGTTCCTCATCCATCTCATGCCTCCCTTCCTCATTTTCCAGTCTTCTTGGATACTACTCTTCTGCTTTCACTCTGAAAACCAGCCGTCGTGGCTACTGTACTATCTGTTCCCCATTTCTGGAATGTTCTTCCTCCTCACAGCTCCCTCTTCGAATCTCTACATAAGGCCTTTTTGAACCCTTTCCTTTCCCCAAGATAATGGTGCCTTCTTCAGCAAAGACATCTTGTGATAATTTTATAGAGACATCTGTGTCATGGGGGACTGGCCAGTGAGAGCACAGACTTCCCCAGGAGCACCAAGGGAGGTGTGCTCAGCCTGATAACAAGCCTTCCTTCTCCTTTGTTGAAGAAGCAGCCTTTTGGCTCGCCGCTGAACCCGACCTGAGTGTATATTTAAAAGGATGCTAACTGGCCAAAGTGAGCACTCTTTCCAGCCTGGTGGTGAGTGAGGCAAGGATTGCTGTAGGCCTCTTGGTGGAGTAGAACCTTTCACTCTCCTCACACATGCCTCAACCATGCAGCCTGTGAGTGCCCAGCGAGATGCTGCTTCTTTCTCTTGACTGGGTTGACTTTCCTTTGGTATAGGGCCCATGATATTGCAAAAGATCCAGGAAACGGAATTGATACCAGTGTTTGCCAGCATCAGCACAAGTTGAACATCCACATCCTATTGCAAGTTCAACTCTATCCTAGCGTAGGCCACATTTGGAAGTGAACTTGGTGGGGTGAATTCTTTGTAGCAGATTGATTTAAGATTGAACCCACTTTCCCCAGGGATTGAGGTGGTACAGCTGAGAGTGTGCTCCCCGAGAATTGGGGGGAGATACATTTGAATTTCTTTCTATATTTTCTCAGTAAATATCTGTTTTTAAAAAGTTAATTAATATTAATTGATTAAGTGATACTGGGATGATTAAAAAACACTGGGTCAATCAATAACATAAGAGGTATTATTCATCAATACTGGGGAAAAGACATCAATGCGGGGGGGGGGGGCCTGAGCTGATAGCATTAAAATTAATAGCAGCAATAATAGCTAACATTTATTTGTTATTGTGTTCAGTTGTTCAACCATGCTCAACTTTTCATGACCCCATTACTGGAATGTTCTTCCTCCTCACAGCTCCCTCTTAGAATCTCTACATGTGAGACAGAATTACAACCGTTAACTTGTGAGATGTTAGGCAAATGTCTTTCCTTTCTCTGGGTCCTTAGCTTCCTCATCTGTAGAATGGGCCAGTTGGACTCAATGCTTTCAAGTTTCCTCCTTGTGCCTTTGAACTTGTTTCCTCCCCCATACCTGGCATGCTCTTTCTCCTTATCTCAGCCTCAGTTTACCTGGCTTCCTTTAAGACTCAAATCAGTCAGTCAATAAACATTTATTAAGCACCTACTATGTGCTGGGAATACAAATACAAATGAACATCCCTGCCCTCAAGGAGCTTACAATCTAATGGGTTATGAATACATACAAAAGAAACGTGGATAGGGGAGGGCATTAGGTGTGGGGACTCTTTAAATGGAAGTCGTGTATCTCTCTGCAGGTGTCTTCCAGGTATAGCCTGCCCCCTAGTGGCGTTCCTCTGACATTACCATCCATGTACTCTATCCTCTATGTACCTAGTTATTTACATGTCTCCCCAGTAGACTGGGAGCTAGCTCCTTGAGGGCAGGGACCCCACAGTGCCTGGCACACAGTAAGCAGTTAATCAGTGCTTGTTGACTGACTGACTGATAGTCCTTTGGTCCTGCATGCCAGAAGAGGCCAAGCTGGGGAAAGATGTCATTGTCCTGCCCTTCTCTCTGTTTGTATCTAGGACCTATTCAATTTTCCATCAATTGCATAAGGCTGGAGGTGGAAGGACAAAGGCTACCAACTCAGGATGGTCTTCCTACCCCCAATCTAGCCACTGGGGGCTGGGCTGAGGTCCTCCCCCTTCCTAAATCTCTCCCTTCTCCCCACTATGGCCCACCGCTCTCCAGTCTCACTGTGCCTGAACTCTGCCCCACCCTGCCTCCCTTTGCCCCACTGCCACCTCCACTCCTCTTCCCAAATAGCAGTCCAGGTATATTGGCACCAGAAGGCCACAGGTCGTCCTAAATGCAGGCCTGGGGCTAGATGTCACCCAGCTCTAGCACTTGGTGACCTGTTCATAGAGAAACTAGGCAACAGAGAAGGGAGAAGAAGTGAGAATGGCCCTCAGGTGCCAGGGAATTGTCACCTGCAGGCCCTGGGTCTAACCTCTGGTGGGATCCTCCCTTGGTGCAAAGCCCAGTTGGGTGAGGCTTGATTGAGTCACCTGTTGGCAAGGCATAAATGAGATGCTCAGAACCTTTGTGGTGCTCTGTCAGCCAAAGGCCCAGGACAGAAGTCTCGCTGTCCACCCCATCGTTTTCCCCACCGTGGTTCCAGGACTTGGCCCCAGAGAATCCAAATCATCAGAGCTTAGGGTCACTGGGTAACCAATGCCTCCCTTACCTGACTTGGGGCAGCTTGACCAACATGGCCCAGGGAGCCCAGGGTAGCTAGCAGTCAAAAAGTTGAATATTCCAGGCAGCCCAGCCTAGCCCAGCCGAGCCCAGAGTTCTCTCCTCTGACTGGCAGTGGGATGTTCCACTGGGAAGGCATCTCTGAGACCCTCCAGAAATCAGGCCAGTTCCTGCTGTCCTTCTTTTTGGCCCTGCTGGTCATTGCGGTTGGCATTTGCCTGCTTTGGAAATGGGCGGCCAAAGCCCAGGCCTGGGCCAAGATCAGAGAGACCCAGAAGAGGAGAGAGGTGGCCCTGAAGAAGATGGAGGCTGCAATGGAACGGCTAAAGCAACAGGTAACCCCCTCTTGGTGCCCCCACCCAGACATGCCCACCCTGCCCCCAGGCGCTGACATAGGTAAAGGCAGTTCAGCCAGCAACTTTGAGCTGGCAAAGACCTTGTAGACCACTTAGGCCAAACCTCTTATTTGAGAGGTGGAAACCGAGGCCCACAGAGAGGAAGGGGCTTGATCAAGGACATAAGGAAAATGCTCAGCTCCCATTTCTCTAGTATTTTAACCACTCACAAAACATTTTCCTCAAGATGGCCTCCTGAAGGTGATCGTGCAAATACTGTGCCTCCTTTTTTGCTGAGGAGGAAACTGAGGCTAAAGAGGGAAGGGAGTGGTTTGAGGTCTTCTGACTCCAAGCCCAAGACTCTTTTTATCACACCTTCTCCCCTATAGAATAAATACATGCACAGTTTCTGTAAGAACTTAAGAGATGATAATTAACATCCATTACACTCATTGAATCTTTTAAAAAAATCTTATTTAGCATTTTATTTTTCCCAATTACATGTAAAACCAACTTTAACTTTTTTTTTCAAATTTTTAGTTTCAAATTCTCTTCCTTTCTCCCCTCCCCACCCATTGAGAAGGCAAGCAATTTGACATAGGTTATACATCTGTAGTCATGCAAAATACATTTCCATGTAACTCATTCTGTGAAAGAAAACAGACCAAAAAAACAAGAGACAAACCCAAGAAAAATAAAGAAAGGGAAGGATAAGTATCTTTGATCTGCATTCAGGCTGTACCAGTTCTTTCTCTGGAGATGGGCAGCGTCTTTCATCGCAAATCCTTCAGAATTGTTTTGGATCATTGTATTGCTGAGAATAGCTAAATTATTCTTAGTAGATTATCATACAATGTTGCTGTTACTGAGTACAGTGTTCTCCTGATTCTGCTCATTTCACTTTGTTTCAGTTCATGTAAGTCTTTCCAGCTTTTTTTGAAGTCCACCTGCTCATCATTTCTTACAGCACAATAGTATTCCATTATATTCATATACCACAACTTGTTCAGCCATTTCCCCAATTGATGGGCATTCCCTCAATTTCCAATTCTTTGCCACCACTAAAAGAGCTGCTATAAATCATCCTCACTGGATCTTGCCTTGGGAAGGGCCCATATCATTAGCCTTATTTTGCCCAGCAGGGAGCCAGAGAGGAGAAAGATCTTACTGAAGTTCCCACAGTGCGTCAGTGGGGGTGCTGGCTGCTAGCCCAGGGCTCCCCTACCCCAGGAGGGAAGCCTCTGCTGAGGTTGGACCCTTGAAATGTAGTTGAAGTGTCTTCTCTCTGTCCCCAGGGATGAGTCAGAGTCAATAAGCTTAGCCTGCTTTTTGGTGGGTTGAAGGGTTTTGGTCCATGATCCAAGGGAAAATTGGGGCACAGGGTCCTGGCTATTCCCAGGGACCTTTGAAAGATACAAGGGTGGGGCAGCTAGGTGGCATAGTGGATAGAGTACCGGCCCTGGATTCAGGAGGACCTGAGTTCAAATCTGGCCTCAGACACATAACATAATAGCTGTGTGACCCTGGGCAAGTCACTTAATCCAACTGCCTAATTAAAAAAAAATTTAAAAAAAGAAAGAAAGAAAGATGCAGGGGCAGGCAAAGATTGGCTGGGGTTAGCTCCATGGAAAGGTCAAGGGTTTTTGCATTATCTCACTCCCCCTCCCCACCTTGAGCTTTCACTAAGCTCCCCTTTTTCCTGTACTTATGCTCCCTGTGAGTATGTGGGGGGCCGGAGATGGGGGTGGGGAGGAGCAGACCCAGCCCTGCCCTCAAGGGGCTCCAAAAGTGGGGGGACTTCTGGAGTTCCTGTAGTAGTAGGAAGGAAGAAAAAAACATTTGTTGTATACCTACTATGTGCCAGGCACTGTACTGAGCCCTTTACAAATAAAATCTCATTTGATTCTCACTACAACCCTGGGAGGTAAATGTTACTATTATCATCTTCCTTTACAGGTGAGGAAACTAAGGCAGGCAGAGATTAAATGACTTGCCCAGGGCCACACAGCTAGTGTCCATTCAGATTCGAACTCAGGCATTCTTGACCCCAGGCTCAGAGCTCTATCCAACGTGCCACCAGTAATAGGGAAAGAAAAAAGAGCTTTGGACCCCCAATGGGATTCAAACAAAGACTCAGAGGGAGAGATGAATCTGACATGTATATGGGATGGCTGTGGCAGAGGGTATGTAAAGGGAGTGGTCAGTGAACAATGGGAGATGAGGCTGAAGGCAGACTGAAAGACTTGTCTTTGTCCTGAGTCAGTGGGAGCCAATGAAAATCTCAGAGCAGAGGAGTGCCATTTTCAGAGCCCTGGCTTTGACTCCCCACTCATCAATCATTAGAATGTCTCCCCCCAGGAAGAGCTGGGGGGACCTCAGTTTGAAAATCAGAGAGGACAGGGGCAGCTAGGTGGCACAGTGGATAGAGCACTAGCCCTGGAGTCAGAAGGACCTGAGTTCAAATCCAGCCTCAGGCACTTGACCCTTACTGTGTGACCCTGGGCAAGTCACTTAACCTCGATTGCCTAGCCCCCCCCACAAAAAAAAATCAGAGAGGACAGAAGGCTTGTAATCTTAGGCTCCACCGCTGCTCACCTTCCCCTCCCCCCTCCCCAAAGGAGGGAGAAAACCTGTAGGAAATACTTGGGATGTGTATGGGGAGAGGGAGCACCAACAGGCCTTAACATAGGATTTATAGCCAGACAGAACTTTGGGGGGCATCGGGTTCAATCCCCTGATATTACAGATGAGGATACTGAGGCCCAAAGAGGGGCTGATTTGTCACGGCCATAGCAAAGTCAGGTTTTGAACCAAGGTCTTCTGACTCCAAACTCAGGTCTCTCTCTCTCTCTCTTTTTTTTTTTTTTTTTTTTGCTTTTTGGTGAGGCTATCAGGGTTAAGTGACTTGCCCAGGGTCACACAGCTAGTAAGTGTCAAGTATCTGAACCCAGGTCTCTTTCCACTGTATCACTTTCTCCCATGAGCCATCGTTCACTCAAGGCAGGTGTGAACTATAAGCTATAATATAATATAGTAATATATATTATATCTAATAATATATAAGATAATAACTATAATAAGCTGGGCTGGGTTATTGGGGTCACATTCACAGAGTTCTAGAATCTCACAGCTAGAAGGAACCTGAAAAGCCTCAGGTTTGAACCATGCCTGAGTGAGAATCCCCTTTTAAGGTCCCCCCAACCCCACACAAGGACCCATCTGGCTTTGGCTTCTGCTTGGAGAGCTCCAAGGACGGGGAGCTCACCACTCCTCTGGACAGCCAAGTCTGATTCTGGATGTCTCCCATTGGTGGGAAGACCAATGATGTCCAGCCTGAATTGGCTTCCATTCCCTCCACCCCTACGCTCCTGGTTCTGCCCCATAGGACCAGCCGAAGCCGGTCTAAAAGCTCGTCCTTAGGGCAGCGCTTCAAACGTTTGGGCCTCATATTTCCTGCTCCCTCTCAGCCCAGCCTTCTCCTTCTTCTGTTCTGCGGCCACGGTATTTCTGAGCCCTCATCCGCTGCAGTCTCACTGCCCTTGCTCCTGGGGGGGCCCTCACTCTAACTCAGATCCTTCCTGCTGAGGTGAAGGCCCACCATATGAAAGAGGAAGAACAGGACCCCTGGGTCCAGCAGTCCCACGGCCTGCGGCCATCGTCTGTAACCAGCTCCATGACCCTGGGGTGGGGGTCCAGAGGGCCCTGGCCCAGACAGATCAGTGAGGGCCCCGGTGTCTGAGCCAGGCCCAGGGAGCCCCAGGTAAGGAAGGTCGGGCTATTTCCAGCCTCGCGCTGCTGTCCCAGCCGGTAGCGTCACCAGAATGCCAGTGATGGGGAGATTGATTGCAGCCGGGCCCTCCTGTCAGGCTCTGACAGCCTGGGAGAAGAATGTGTATTAATATTAATTGGGGCTAATTAGTTGGATAAATCAATCCGCCCGGAGAGACTGGGCTGTTCCCACCAGGATTGGAGCAGGCCAGATAGGTCTAATGAGGTTGTTGTAGGGAGTTTGTTTCTGCACACGTGTGTGTGTGTGTGTGTGTGTGTGTGTGTGTGTGTGTGTTTGATGGTGAAAAGCTGCATCTGTGTGTGTGTGTGTGTGTGTGTGTGTGTGATTGTGAACGTACATAGGAGAGGGTCAGCCTTGCATAGGGGATGGAGCTACTCTGGGGCTGGGGTGGCTGGGGAGCTGGGCTTGCCTTCTGCCTCTGACCCCAATGGCTGTGACCCTGACCTCTGGCCTCGGTTGTCTCACGTGGAAATACAGGATGATAATAGCCCTGAGCTGCCGAGATTGGGAGGATCCAGTGAGGTGTAAAGGCGCTATTCAGGGGCACAGCAGGGCTGGGATTGGTGGATGGGTGTGACTGGGAGGGAGTCTGGGGGACCACAGGTTTAACTCTCTTTCCCACTCTGAGCCTCAGGTCTCTCATCTGTAAAGTGGGATGAACAATCCTCACACGACCCACTCATGGGCCTGTGGGGAGGAAAGCACTTTATTGAGGTCAGAGTTCCTGGTTCTGTCTCCCCTTCACTCCCCAATCCTGCTCCTGCAGAGCCCCTACAACCAGACCCCAAGTCAAAAGTTGAACAGTGTCTCTTGGGGCCTACCCCACTGATCTTTTTGCTGGATCATCTCCCCCCACCCCCACCCCTGGGGCCTAGTCCTGTGCCAAAAGGAGATAGGAGGAGGGGAGGAGTGAGGCCTAGGACTGGCCTGGAGGGGCTTCTAGTCTGTCTAGAGAGGTAGGACTTATGTCTAAGGGCCAGTGAGAGCAAGGGTTATTGGAGAGAGGGAACTCAAGAGGTAAGAAAGGCCCTAACTCAGAGCTGCAAGCATTGGTGGAGACTGGTTCCCAGGATCAGCCATGCAGAGGAGGTAGTATCCATGTAGAAGGAACAGAAGAAAGTTGCAGGGTCTGGGTTCAAATCCTACCACTGAAACTACCTTCATGACCTTTAGGTAAATCACTTATCTTTTCTGGGCCTCAGTTTCCACC